CCGAGGCCCAGGACCGGAAGCTGCCGGGCCACGAGCTCGAACCCGAAGCGCCGCGCGTCCAGCTGCGGAGACGCCCCGCCGGTCGCAGGGACAGCCGGTTTGTAAATCTGGGTGTTTGGGGCAACGCGTCCGATTCCCGCACGGCCGCAGAGATGCGGCCTGGTGCCTGGAGAGCCGTACTGTCGTCCTGGTGTCTGGGCTATTTATGGGGGGGAAACAGACCTATGTGTACGTATTTTGGATTGGTACGGTTTCCGGACGGGCTCCTTCGCGCCTCCCCCTGTGCAGCTCGCCCCGAAGAGCCGCGGTTCCCACCCGCGGTGTGCCATCGGCTGCGGCCCTGGGCAGCTCAGACGTGCCACCGCGCCTGCAAGATCCCATCTGCAAATAAAGTTGCCTACCCCACCCTCTGCTTCCCCGCTTTTCTTCCCCGACCGCGTGTGCCGTGGGGATGGCTGGGCCAGGGCTGGGGGCGCAGGGGCGGTGGTGCACGGAGTTCGCTTGGCGCGTTCGGAAGCCAGTTCCTCCTCGGCAGGGCAGCGTCAGTTCCACCCCGACGCAGGAGCGGGGGCCCCACGCCCCGCGGAGCCGGGGGGAGTAGAGGACGGGGCGGCCGGTCCTTCCTCCGCCTTCCCTCTCCTCTCCCTTCCCTCCTCTCTCCCTTCCCCTCCTTCTTCCTCTCCCCCTGCCCTTTCTTTTTCTCCTCCGCCTTCCTCCTCTCCCTTCTCTCTGTCCTCCCTCTCTCCTTCCCTCTCCATCCCTCCACCCCGTCTCTGTCCCTCCTCTCGGCGCCGTCTCTCTCCTCCGCGGCTCCTTCCTCTCCGGGGCGCTCCGGGCAGCCGCTCGTCTCGCGCTGTCCTGGGCTCCTCGGCCCCGCGAGTCGCAGGACGAGGGAATCCGGGGACCGCTGCCTCTCCCGGACTTGAAAAAGCCCAGGGCAGGCGAGCCCTCGCGCCGCGACAAACAGGTCTTTGTCACCGCGGCGCTGTCATCAAAGCGAAGGCGCGCGGGATCACACGGCATGACAAATAGCCCCTCGCGGGTTCAGCCTGTGCGCTGGGCGGGTCGGCTCGGGGGGCGCCGAGGGCCGCCGGAGCCCGTGGCAGGGGGGTCGCGGCGTGCAAAGGGGTGCGCAAGGACGCGTGGCGGCCGGAGCAGAGAGAGTCTTGCCCTCCTCCCTTCTCCTCCGCGGCCACCGCGCGGGCAGGCGCACCTTCCACCCGCACTGGGTCTCGGTCTGTGCGCGCCGGCACATTTTCCCTTTAAGAGAAGAGGCAGGGCGGAGACGACGTGAGCAGAGACAGAGACAGACCCAGGGCTGGGAGAGAGGGCTCTCTGCTACAGCAACGCTGTGGGGGAGTCTCTCCACCTCCCAGCCTCATAGGCAGCTGCAGACCCCCGAACACCCAGGCTGCAGCCCTCAGACCCCCTCCGGGTTTCCCATACCATCCCCAAGAACTGGCTTTTCCCCGGGGAGAGGGCTGGGAGGCCCCAGGCTTCCTTTCCAAGCCCCGGGCAGGGCTGACCTAAGTGCCCCAACCTCCCACCCCTTTCCCTGGCCGGGAGATAGCCCTGGGACCTGGTTCCCGGGTCGAGGTGCTCCCAGAAACCGGAGCCTGTGCTGGGACCTCTAGACCCAATGTCTGCGATTTTAAGGCTCTTAGGCCTGGGAGAAAAGCTCCCACCCGGTCCACGGAGACCCTGGCTTTGATTCCCAGAGTAAGGGGAGGGAATGCATGCTCTTGCGGGAGTTCTGATTGTCCAACTCCTGGCCCAGGTCGGAGTCCCTGGCAGGGGAAGTGTAACCGTATTTCTGTGAATTCAGCCTTTTCCCTGCCCTTGAACCAAGTGGGGGGTCTTTGCCCAGTGAGCTTGGGGGAGAAGGGGATTGCTAAAAGTCCCCTCAGCCTCCCTTTTGCTCTCTTTCCAGGAGCCCGCAGACTCCTTACCCTACGAGCTAGAGACAGAGGCAGGAAACGTCTAAGTTGGTGTTATTCTTCATCCTTCAGCCCGGGCCAAGGCCTTTTTCTCCACACGGCCATGCCAAGCCGTGCAGCAGGAAGAGTTTATGAACTGTGCTTTGGCCCACGTCAGCTTGGGTGGCCAGGGAAGGGGGAGGGTCTGCACCGGAGCAGGCCTCGGCCCCCACGTGAGGGGGTGCTAGTTAGAGCTGTTACCAAGCTCCGGGCCGGAGCAGATGGGTTCTGGAGATAGGCGCCGCATGCCCACAGGGCTCCTGGGAACCGGATGCTCCACTGTCTCCGATGCGCGTTGTCGCGAAGAAGAACGGCTTTGGGAAAGTTTGTGCATAGGAGGGAAAGCAGAAAAATGAAAGTAAAAAGGAGGGAGAAAGGAGAAAAGGCAGGAAAAGTAGGAAGGTGGCCTGGGAGGAACGCACACGCCCAAGCCTTTGT